ACATGGAGGATTTGCCGCGGGAGAGGCATGAATGTCGGGCGGAGTATACAGGCGCGATCACAAGGACACATCTAGCAAGCGTAGCACACCCATCGCCGACCTGTAGCATCTGCCCAAAGATTTGGAGTTAAAAAATATCCAGGAAAGCCTACTAGCAAACCGTTTGCTACAGGCCATCGATGGAATACCTATGTGTGATTGCTTAAGCACGCTCCTCTTGCTGTGTTGATGTGCGCCAGAAACACGCGCCGACAAACAAAACCCCAATTTGCCGCCACCGTGTCTGATCGCGTTCTGGCGTGTTAAATTGTGCCATGCAAAAAGCCACACCTCCCCCCGCATTATGTGTTTCCTCTCTTCCCCCACCCTGCCTCTGAGGATCTCAAGGAGGTACACCACACTCCTCCTTCCACCACCCCATCCCCACCACCACCACCACCACCAAAATCCCCGTGAGGTGGGCCAGGCTGAGCAATTGGCCCCGGGTGATCCAGATGACAGGGTTCTGGCTCAAGAGGGGGGTGGTCTGAAGTTGCTTCTCCTCACTGAGCTGCGGTCAGAGGAGGTGGGAGGGGTGTGTGGCTTTGATTGCGTGCTGACCAGAAGCCATTACCGGCTGCTCTTAGACCTCTCGCTCTTAAATCAACTCTAATTGTCTATTTTTAAACAAACCTAACCTAAAGTATGCCGCCTAAAGCTTCTAAGGGCAAAAAGAATCAAAAGAATACCGGGGGAGCTCCTTTGCTAAAGGAATTTTTTGCATTGGCTGAACTTGTCAGTAACTCTTCAGCTTCTTCAGGCATTGGTGATACAAATGCTGCTGACTCTCTCCTCACACCAAACTTTTTATTAGAAGCATTGGGAAGACAACGTCAAGAGCTGAGGCAAGATACAATGGATATGATATCACCTCTAGCCCAACGTATGGAGGAATTGGAGTCTCAATATAAGCAAACAGCTCAAAAAGCAGAAGCAGCATTAAAGAAACTCTCCTCCCTGGAAAAAAAGCTTGGAACCACCTCTTAAGACAGTTGGTCTAGAGAAAAAATCATGATGTTGGAGTCTCGCATAAGAGACAAAAACTTGAAATTTCGTGGTTTTTCATCAAATGCCAAAGCAACAACAAACCTTTTTATTTTCATGGTGTCCTGGCTGCCCGCCTCTTTAAAATTAGAGGAGGGGGTGACACCACTGATACTGCGAGCTTACGAGTAGGTAAAACAACAGATTCTTCCAGGCTGCCCTTTCTGGCAGAGACATTATGGTGGAGCTGGCAGACTATCACACTAAGAGGAAAATCTTGATCGAAGCACGTCAGCAGAGCAGCTTGGATTTTCAAGGAAGCAAAATACTTGTATTTCCAGACCTTCCCCCAGAAATGCTTAAGATTTGAAGAGACTTAAAACCTATTATGTCTAAACTCCAGGCAGCAGGTATAAAATACCGTTGGTTGCGGTCACGTAAAATGTTTGTGGAATATCACCAAACTCAGTATATTGCATATGACTGTTTCTAGATCAGCTTTGTTATCTGCATTAGGTTTGCCTCAATTAGGGCAAGATAGAGCTTGATGTACTGTAATTTTGTAATGTTCTATCATAATAGCAAGCTACATATTTATTAGTTTGAGATATATAAAGTTGGAGGTTCTGGGAGGCCTGAGGAGCATGTGCTCCCATATTGTAGTTCACAAAACCAAAATAGGACCCACAATAAGTAGGGAATACCAAAAATCAGCAAATACCGTGCTACAGACGATTATAAAATATCTCAAATACTTTTAATGTATTTTTGTTTCATATTTTACAGTTTTTTCTCCATGTATTATTTATCATATAAGCCTTAATACATAGAAAGAATCATATATCAAAACATCTAAGTATCGTCTCTTAATATATCACAAAAGATATTGCACAACCCCTTTATTAATATCAGTCCTCCTTAAGTGCTTTTCACTTTGGAGGAAGCTTTGAGCTCACTAAGAGAGACTTTTTGCAGTATTCATTGAAAAATTTGGATTAATATTTTGGTATTTGGCAACTTTGTGCTTGGAAATATCTGTTGAACTCCCTGAGGAAGACACTGAAACAGGAGGATATCTGGACCTCTGTTGGAGGAAGACTGAGCACTTATTCAAAATAGACTTAAAGGAGTCCTCCCTCTTAAAACTTTTGTATAATTAAGGAGGACTGATATTAATAAAGGGGTTGTGCAATATCTTTTTGGCATGGGGTGGGGGAGAAGGGTCTCACCTAGCTTACATTGTAAGCTTCCATAGACCCAATGGTTTCCTGGGCTCCAACGTATACTTTATCAGTTAATCAACTGCAATATCAGATTAAAACAAGAAGATAGAAGATGCTGGAATTGAGGAAGCTAAATATTATCATGTATGTGTCAATGCATAATTTTGAAAGAATGAAAAAAGAAGAACACTGCTTATATAAAGAGATATAAATATAATGTAAGGACATAGAAGTTGAATTGATATAATTTTGTTTAAACATTAGATGATGTTATATATAATTTATGTACTTTTTTGGTTGTAAGTAATATAGTTCTTCAATTAAATAATAATAATAAAAAAGAGGAGGTGGGAGGGGGGAAAACAGCACAACTCCTCTTTATTTGCCTTTGCTTCCATAACCCCCCACTATTTTAACTTAGCTTCTTAGCCCCACCCCCTAGCCATTTCCTTTCTATTTCTTGACAGCTTCAATCACACACAAACACCTCAACACGTGGTGCTCACCCCCACCAGCAGCCTCCTGCTTCCTTCCCTCATACCAGTTGTTCGCGGGCCGGGTAAGAGCCCAAGAGCCCCTAGGCCTTATGTTTGACACCCCTGATCTAGGCCATATTCTGTCACACTTATATTGGCTGAATAGCAGCAACAACTTAGAACAGTTCACACACACACACATTCAAAAGACTCTAAATGGAACATAATCAAATTTCTCAAACTAGACAGTGGATTCTGTGAAGTTAACAAGTATATTGAAATGATGGAATGTCCTCTTGGTTTTGATCAAACATAAGAACATAAGAGACGCCAATGTTGGATCAGGCCAAAGGCCCATCCAGTCCAACACTCTGTGTCACACAGTGGCCAGAAATACCAGTGCCATCAGGAGGTCCAGCAGTGGGGCCAGGACATTAGAAGCCCTCCCACTGTTGACCCCCCCCCAAGCACCAAGAAGACAGAGCATCACTTGCCCCAGAGCCCCTAGCTATACCTTGTGGCTAATAGCCACTGATGGACCTCTGCTCCATATGCTTATCTAATTCCCTTTTGAAGCCGCCCATGCTTGTAGCACCCACCACTTCCTGTGGCAGTGACAGTGATCAAAGAGTTGGTAGTCATTACAAGATAAAATGTGGGCATTTTAAAGAAAATCTATGGATCCACTACTTGAAAATATAATATATCCCATAGAAAGAGGTCACAGCAACTGAATTAAATTATTTATATCCTGCTTTTCTACCTCACAGGGTGCTCAAGCTGTTTGACTACCCATAATAGCCTAATTCTCATGGGGGGCAGTGGTGACTCCAACCTTCCCTTCTGTTTATTACCCCATAGCACTAAAATCAGCATCTATCAGGCCCTGTGGGGCCATGGACATGCCCTTTAAAGATACACCTTCCAGCCAGCCACTTGACAATCAGCTTTCGGGTGGCTTTACCTTCAGGGCAGGAAAGGATAGTGGCAAGGGAGAGATTATTTTGAGGTTGCTATTGATGGCTTTTGGGCTTGGATATGCCCCCATGGGGATTCTGGGTATGATTCAGCCATTTAAAAGGTCTGTGGGAGGAAACTGAGGAGGATGCACCAGTTCTGGTTCCCAGCACAGAAAGGAGTAGATCTCATGGAGAGGAGGTGGAATGGGGTGATGCTCAACTCTGGCTCCTCTCAGTTTGAGACTAAACAAAGTTGCATCATCCAAGAAATTGCAAACAGTCTTGGTCTGGGACTTGACACTAATGAAACTGTAAAATATTCAAAACAGAAAACCTAAACACTCTCAGCTCCACCTACCTCACAGGGTGTTGTAGTGGGGAGAGGAAGGGAAAGTGATTGTAAGCCTCTCTGAGACTCTGAGTGAAGGGTGGGGTATAAATCCAACTCCTCCTCCTCCTCCTCCTCCATATCAATTAAAAAATTAAAAAGACAAGTCAGACAGCAGACCAACGTATCAAAGATAAAACCAAAACTCAGAAATCCTTAACTGGTACTCAGGTCAAAGGCCTGCTGACATACCAGAGTTCTAAAGGAGGCAAGGAGTTCTAAAGGCTGGGCGACATAACTGAAAAGGCCCATTGAGCAGACACTCCAATGATCATCTAAACATGCAGGTAGGTTTATATGGCCATGGTGGTTTTTGAGATATTCAGGTCCTAAACCATTTAGATTAAAAGCAGTGCTTTACTGAAATGACTTGAAAGCAAGTGAAAGTGAAATAATATTGGTATGATATACTCAAGCAAGAGATTATAAGATAAGCATATGGAGCAGAGGTCCATCAGTGGCTATTAGCCACAAGGTATAGATAGGGACTCTGGGGCAAGTGATGCTCTGTCTTCTTGGTGCTTGGGGGGGGTCAACAGTGGGAGGGCTTCTAATGTCCTGGCCCCACTGGTGGACCTCCTGATGGCACCTGGTATTTCTGGCCACTGTGTGATACAGAGTGTTGGACTGGATGGGCCTTTGGCCTGATCCAACATTGGCATCTCTTATGTTCTTATGTTCTTATACACAACTGTAGTGCTGTGTCCCAACTGAAGCAAGGACTGAATCTGTACTTATAGAAGAAAATCTCTCCCACCCCCCTGTGCATGTTGCAGGTAGTATATCTGCAGGCCTTTTTGGAACAGAAGTGCAGGAACTCATGGCTAGTATACTCCCATGCCAAAATGACCAGTCAGAAGCCACAGCCTTTCAATAAAGAAAAGCATGTATTCTTTGAGAAATAATGCTCATTTCCCTCCTCCAATTTTAGGTACAAGGCAATTGTAAATCCAATGGATATTCAAACACCCAATGCAGTTATGTGGACGTGTATAAAAGCTATTGCCATCTGGATAATTTCCATCCTGCTAGCAGTTCCCGAAGCCATATTCTCTGAAGTGGCCCATATCAACGATGCGGATAATGTCAGTTTCACAGAATGTATACGATATCCTCCGAAGGATGATTTACACCCAAAGATTCATTCGGTGATGATTCTCTTGGTATATCTCCTTATCCCTCTCACTATTATTAGTGTTTACTACTATCACATTGCCAGGAGTTTAATTAAGAGTGCACATAACCTACCTGGAGAACACAGCGAACATTCTAAAAAACAGGTAAGTATTTTAAGAGTTTTACTTTAAGAGAGTTTCAAACATCTCATTCATTAAGATCAGATGTTACTTCAAAATAGTAACATTCTACTGCATCTACTGTTACTAAGTTATTCCCACTCACATATTTTGCTAAAACTATATTATCAGAATTTTCTGATCATCTCTAACAACTGTTGCCTCATTTTAAGTTAGCCTGCCAGAGTCCATGTTTTTTTTAATAGGAACTTCCATGTTGTGGGATGGACTCCCCGAGGAAGTGAGAGGGTGCCAATTTTTTGTGGGCTTTTAGAAGGCACTGCAGTTCATTTTAAGTGCTAGGGCTTTCAAGGGAGTATTGGCTGCAGACATTTGGGGGGGGAAGGGAAAATAGTTTCTCAGAATTTTATTGTACTTTATATGTTTTTAATCTGGAATTATAAACTGCTTTAAACCACAAAGAAAAGGTGGAGTATAAACATTTTAAAAATTAGTTAAAAGTTAAACCACCCCCTTCTTCCAACACTGACCAATCAATTTGGTCAACATGGTCAATGTTTAGAGCACATCAAGGGTGGGGGGAGATAACAATAGCATTCAAGATAAGACTTTGGCTGGATGTTGCAGTTACAGCTGAATACATTGCACATTTTCCTTTGGGTCTACAAGAATCCACTGCTCATTCTGTCTAGCTTTAGATGCTCCCACAGCACAAAGGAGCTTTAGTGAGTCCTTGTAGCAGTCATCAAGTTCATGGCCTCCCTACAGTCAGCTAATTGGCCAGTGTGTGAACAGAATGCTGGACCAGGTGGGCCTTTGGTTTGATCCAACATGGCTCTTTTCATGTTCTAATGTTCTATGAGGTTTAGGAGCCACTCAGACCAATGGGAAGCTATTCTGCTATTGGCAAGATAGGCAAGACTTCAGAGGAAGGGTATTTCTTCACTGTCTTTGAACTGAATTTCCTTCACTCAAATTGCTAATAATATTAGTTTCTGGATTTTCTGGTATCACAGATGCACAAATTCTTATTGGATTATGCCTTGGCATGCATCCCCTAATAGTTGGCAGGTGGGGTAAGCTCTGACAATGCCAATCATCTGCTTGGGGGTGGCTGGGAAAATTAATTAAACTTTCCCCTATTTCCTTTTCTGTAGGAGATAGATGCAGAGATTATGACGATGACCTTCACTATTTAGCGGACCCACACAGTATGATCCCGACATGTAGCATTATGTGAATACTTAGTGCTGCATGCAAGGATCTGCTCCTGAAAATAGTCAATAGTGTAAAAAATTACTGAGGTTTCATTGGAAATATAGTATTGGCTTCTAATGCTGTTAATGTTTCTGGACTGTATTTAAGTGAGTTGTGAAAACTAATTCAAAGTATAATTTTATACATTTGGATGAAGGCTTTGCCGTAGACCAGCTCCATTTTCCGTGACTGACTTAACTCTGCTCCTTTTATTATTTCAGATGGAAACACGAAAGCGCCTGGCCAAAATTGTCCTAGTCTTTGTAGGGCTATTTGCTGTATGCTGGCTGCCCACCCATGTGCTGTACATGTACCGGTCCTTTAACTACAGTAAGATTGATCCATCACTTGGTCATATGGTCATTACTTTGGTAGCCCGAGTACTCAGCTTCTGCAATTCTTGTGTCAATCCATTTGCACTCTATTTCCTCAGTGAAAGCTTCCGGAGGCATTTCAACAGCCACCTTTGCTGTAGCGTAATGCCTCATCAGCAGAGGTCTGCCACTTACCTGAATGGCTCTTCAGCCATTCGAATGACTTCTCTGGAAAGCCATGGCAGGAACACTGTCACCATGACAACTCTTTTCAACGGGCATCACCCCAAGCAAGAAATATCTCTGTGATTTAATCAGTGTAATGTTTGAGCTTGGAATGAGATCCAACAGTTATTCATTTACTATATGAGTACTTTATCTAATTTTCTTTAAAATGTACTGATATCATAGATGTGTGCCCTTTACTGTACATTCACATTGGTTTTAATGAAACTAGCCCCCCCCCCGCACTTATCAGCTATACAGTTCATTACTTTGAACAACTAATCTTTTTTTTTTTTTGGTTGGTACTGATGAACATATAACAAAGATACATATGAAGAGGAGTGTATATAAATTTTTGCTATTTAAGAAGAAATACTGATTTACTTAACTGACAACTTGACAGAGGCCCTTGTTTTTTTAAAAAAGGTTGTATACCTCAGTAATGTCTTTTTACAAAAGACTGTCCAGCAAACAAAGAACCACACATGCTGCTAATGCTCATGTATATATGGATGTACATTCACACAGCTATGCTTGCCCAGTCTCCACTGAAATTAATGGATGTTAGCTGACAAAATACATCCCAGTCCAGGGACGCTAGATGTGTGCAAGCAAGAATTGCTAGAGCTGGTGTCTAAATGCAAACAACACAATAACATACCATGTAAATCATGTATCACGACAAATTAGGAACATACCTCAGGATAGTTTGTCATAAATTTGGAAAACTCTATGACTTGGGTCCTAAGGTGTCATTCCATCAGTGCAGCAATGATAGATAGTTCCTTTGACGGAATGGCTGTTCCATTTGTGGATGCCAATTCCCTCCCCTTGCTGCAGCCCCACAATGACCCAAATATTAATCATCATCTCAGATTACATATGCTTCCTATTGTTGACTGTTGCATGTTACCACTTAATGTCTACTGGTTGCCTGGTTTGTATGCTTGATGCCGTTTAACTTAGAGCTTTAAATTCTGTATTGCAGAATCAGTGAATATTTGTGGGGTTTAGATTAAAATTGGATGGATAGATCTCGATTGGAATCATTTGCCCCATGTCATGTTCCAGTAATTTCACAGCAAACATTAATGATAAAAATTAACTAAACTTTAAAACTTAAAAAACCTCCTTTTAAGCACTAAAAATTATCTTACTTTGCCCCATTTTAACTAAACCCCTCATTGTTACCCTTCCTCCTCCATCTGATGGATGATCCCATGCTCAGAAAGGTATAATTTACTGATTTACTAAATTTAACTGATTTATTTAATTGACATGCTTGATTTATTTAATTGACATGAACAAAAACTATTGAGGTAGACTCAGCATGGGTTCTGTAAGGGAAGATCTTGACTCACTAACCTTTTAGTGTTCTTTGAGGGAGTGAGCAAACATGTGGACAAGGGCGACCCAATAGATGTTATTTACCTTGACTTCTGGAAAACTTTTGATAAAGATCCTAATTAAAGGCTCCTAAGTAAGCTCAATAATCATGGGATAAAAGGACAAGACCTCTTGTGGGTCAAAAACTGGCTAATTATTAGGAAACAGTGAGGCTGAGGACAGACTGGCAGTATGAAGCTCGAGGAAGGTGGGGCAAAAAGACCGGACCAAGTTGTGCCGGGGATTCCTGGTCACACTGCACCTATTGATGCGGGAGCATACCGGGGAAGAGGCGCAAGTGAGTGTTCGAACTGTTGGCCCACTCCTGGCGGAGGCGCAGCTGTAAGTGGCTTTTTTCCACTCCAGCGACATGCGCATAGGCACAGCACCGCAGCAATGAGGCTTGTTTGCGGCTTTTAGCGTGCACACTTCCGGGAAGCAGGATCAATGCACTCTCCAGGATTTGCTACAGCTTTCACCTGGTACTTTTCGAACTCGGTAGGGAATCATCATAGGATGGGTTGAGTATGGCTGGGGAACGCCTAACAGCTGTGGCTGTGTGAACCGACCCCTTTAATCCGTTTGTGCAACATGCCTATATCAGGCCAAACTGCCAGTCTGAACTCAGACTGAGTATAAATGGGCAATTTTCTTAGTGGAGGGTGGTAAGCAGTGAGGTACCGCAGGGATCAGTACTTGGTCCAATGCTTTTTAACTTGTTTATTAATGAATTGGACTTGAGAGTAAGCAGTGAAGTGGCTAAATTTGTGGATGACATGAAATTGTCTAGGGTGGTGAAAAGCAGGGAGGATTGTGAGGCACTCCAAAGGGTCAAGGATGGGCGAGTGGGCGTCAACATGGCAAATGGGGTTCAATGTGGCCAAGTGGAAAGTGATGCACATTGGAGCCAAAAATCCTAACTATAAATACATGTTGATGGGTCAAAGATGGAACATGGAATTTTTGAGAAGGTGAAGTATCTATAGAAGAGAGAAGGGTGGTTGAGGGTGCGTAGCCATATAGGAAGGGCAAATAAGCAGAGGCATGGCTCTGTGAGGAAATGCAGGGGAGCTAACTTCTATCTATTCACTAGAAGAAACTTAATGGTGAAAATAAGACTAGACTGATAATCTTCAGTGCCCTGATGCAGTTGGACTCCCTATTCTTTTGTATGCATCAAAACTCGTAAAGCCATACATTTTTCATGTTACTTGAAATTGCTTCTGAACAGGAAAAGTACTTTGGGGTTAACCAGTGTGTGCCTCTATACTCTTTTGTGCTACCATTTCTATAAAAAAAAGTCTTACCTGAATACCCTAATTTTCTCCGTACATTCTTCCCCAATACTTTTTATATGATAAAAAATGTATCACATACTCCCTACATGACGATTCCTGGCCTTAGGTTGTCTGATGTCATGCGGGCCAATGTGATTGAATTCATTACAGACCCAGTTGTATCTCTTCAGTTGCCTGCTTTAATATGGATTCAGTTATGCTGATAGAGAATGATTGGTAGATGTTTCCAGTAATTTTTTAAATCTTATTTTGTGGCACGAGCAGTGGGAGCCTTGTAGCACAGTGTGACAAGGAGGGTTTGGTTCCTGGCAGAAAAGGAAGACAGCCTGGTGATTTCAGCTGGAACAGGTATCTGGCTGACAGGAAATTGGTACATCCTGAGCAGACAGCTTTGCAGATGCCTTGTCTCAAGTTCAATTTCAGTGGAAGAATGTAATGATATTTATGAGCATTCTTTGTAGTGTGATGTTTGTAAATTGTTGCTTTTGAGTCTGTGCAATTTTCTTAAATTGTGTTTTGATAGAAAATAATGTGCTGTACTTCCCAAATGTTTGAGTGGTCCTGTTATTGCAATTCAATAAGTATTGTCAATGTACTTGAATTATAAGTGAATCGGAGCTGTATAATAATTATTAAAATGACCTAAACAGAATGTATCAAGGATGGACTTTTCTTTTCCAAGTTGTTAAATTATCTTCACAACTGTCTTTATAAGCTTCAGCCCAGAGTAAATTAGTTGTGGTACTCAGGCTATAGTTCTATGCACACTTACATTGGACGAACACCTTATGAAACACCATGGAAATTGCTTTTGAGCAAACATGTATGGGATTGGGCTACTGGGCCCATATTAATGGGGAAATTGTGATCACATTCACTTAGAACCTGTGGACTAAAGAACAAATAACTGTATACAATGGGATATGCCTTCAAGTGTCGTCTTAATATTTCTTTACATTTATTGATTTAGGTTATTTTCCTACCCTGGCTCCCAAAGGAATGCAGGTTAAAATATGTTTGCATTTTTACCTTTCCAGAGCAAATCACTAGCTCTGAGCCTATCAACCACACATGATGCTGGGAATTCATGTTTGGATCCTCCGATATGTAGGTTCAGCTGGAAAAAAAAATCAATGTGGAGAATGGAACATGGATTGGGACCACAGCACTAAGGAAGGAAAGTTAACTCTTTCCCCACATGTCATCTTCCTGATCCAAAATCCTTCTATGCAGGCAGCTTTAGTTTCAACAGGGAAAAAACAGGCACAATGATGGGTATCTTAAAACAGTCCAGGAAGGGTGTACAGGTAATAGAATGAGCAGGAAGGGGGAAATATATTGTGAAGCTGAAAATGTAATAAACAAAAGTCCAGGCAGTGCTTCCACGCAGGAGTGCCACAGGCAGCCAATGGGGGCACTGAAGCATACCTCAGAGTGGGGTTGAAGAAAAAAAAACCCCAAAGGGACGCACCGGAGAGGAACGATCACACTGCTCATGTTTTTCCATGCCGTGCCTGTGTGATCAGATGCCCAGAAACCTGCGATGGAAGCACCTTGCTGAGGTAGCCACCAGAATTTTCCAGTGGCTATTTAATCTGTGCGGGGGTCATTTTAGCATGAGGTAGGGATGACTGGGACATGGGAGCCAGTTGTGTACATTTGATCATGCCCATTTGATCCAGAGGGGAGTGGTGGCTATGTTGGGCCAAACTGCTGGTGTGATCACACCCTTTGATTGTGATCCTTTGGGTAGATACTTTTATTTTGTCTCTGTGAATCACTCTAAGTGCTATACAAAGAACAAAAAGAGTATTTTTTTAATTAAAGAAAGGGGGTGATTTCATTTAGTTTTTAGTTTCTTTGTATTATTTTTGATAGAGGCAAAGGACTAAAATCTTGAAAGAATAAATTTGAGTTTGTAGTAAGAAAAAGTTCTTTATTAAATGGGATTCTTATTTTGGGTTTGTGTGTGATACTGTCTAGTTAGAAGCTCTCCTATTATGCAAAGGATTATACATGGTAATGATTAAATTACATAGCTCCAAAATCGAATTGTGCTCAAGAAATGAAATGACAAAAAAGCAAAGCAAATTATAGCTGAGAAGATATTCTACATCAAGGCAAAAAAAAATTAGTAGAAATCCTGCCAAAACTTAATTCAAAATTAATCAGGAGCATAACATATATATGATTAATTAAATGCAAAGAAGAGATCTTCTGAACTATTTATTTCATTGGAACCTGATATATAATTAGCATTCCTATGAGGAAAAACCCAGCATAAAGTAATGTAAAAGTGTTTGGACTCATCTGATCTAGAATATGTTGGACTATGTTTGCCAACTTCCTGGACAGTTTTAAGATACCCAACTTTGGGTGGAAAATTCCTGGAGATTTGGG